TGATGTCACCAACAGCTTGTCAGCTTTTCATTCCCCAACTCGTGTGTCTGCCAGCACTCTAGAAATGTGCTCTCTTTAGGATCGTCAGCTGTACGCTCTGCTTCTTGCCGCAGCTTTGTCACAACGCGGTGAACACGTAACTCTCGCTGAAGTCCACAGGGTTGATCAAAAGGTGTTGACCACCGCTAAAAGGGAAAACAAGAAATAGGACGTTTCTGTTTTCCTTTTTTTCATTCTTTCTTTTCACCAGTTAGTGCTTTGTGGGAAGACTTTCTTGAGACAGTTCAGCTTTGTTAAGGAATCTTAGAATCATAGAATGGCTTGGGTTGGAAGGGACCTTTACAGGCCATCTAGTCCAACCCCTGTGCAATGAGCAGGGACATCCTCAACTAGATGAGGTTGCTCAGAGCCCCGTCCAACCTGACCCTAAGTCTTCTCTGACTTCTTCTGGCAATTCAAGTGAACTTAAGTCAAGAAATTACCCTTATCTAAAAACTTATAGCCTCCTTCAAAGCAGACCTATGGAGCACATCTTCCCTCTGCAGAGGTTTTTCTACCTTTTGGACACCCTGCCCTAGCCTTTGCTGTCGGTTCAGTGCAATAATCCCGGTCTGCAATGCCGGTTCTGCTGTGCCTGCTTGCCACCGTCTGTTTAAGTTGGAGCCCCAGGTTACAGACTGCACAGTTAGTTCAACAGTCTTACTTTAGTTCCTTTACACCTCTTGGGTAAATACCATCTGATCCCCCTGGTTTGCAACTGTCTCACCCCCGTTTTCCAAACCATCTGTTGTCAGTTCTGTCCCATAACCTTCTCTGACACCCTCCTGGAGTCAAAGGCGGTTTTTCCTCAAATTGTGGTGCTCAAACCTCAAGGGGAGCCATGAGCTGAGACCTCACGAGTGCTGAGGAGAGCAGCAGTATGGCCTGATGTCTTACAGATGATGTTCTTGTTACACATCCCATTATATATGTTTTTTTTCACAGCAGCATAGTACTGCTACCTCATCCTCAGCATGTAATCCAGTATTTCTCCTCTTCCCAGCCCATCTTTTCTGCTGCCTCGTATCATTTCAAGACCTGTTTGTTAACCGGTTTGTTGGAGGCGTCTTTAATGGTGGCAAAAGGTGATGAATTGTTGGGCTTGAAGATGGTTGGGTTGTTGTTTCAAAGCATGGAAGCCACAATATTTGTGTCACCAGCTCTGGACTCAAAGAAGCTCCAAAAAGGAGAAAAGTGGGTTGCAGTATCTGTGATTTTTCTTTTTTTTTTCTTAATTGATTTTTGGTTGTTGGTTTTCTTGTGGCTGGGGTTTTGTTTTGTTCTGTTTTTTTTTTTCTGTTTTCTTGTTTTGGTTTTTGGTTTTTTTTTTTTTTTTTTTTCTTTTCAAAAAGGGGGTCCATTTTCAAGCTGGGTACTTCCCCATGGGTGGTTTTCCCATTAAAACCAGACCTGGGCTCTTCAGTCCTTTGAGCAGAGCACAACGGTGTAGTAAAACCATCTTTGCCCTGGTGTGAGCGAGTGTTCAGTGGCCTGGGGAGGAAGGTGACCAAGCGCAATGGTGTCCCCCAAGGTCTCCTGCCAGGAGCAGAGATGCTCTCAGGCCGTGTGAGGGGAATGCCAAGGTTGTAGAGGAGAATTTGCAGGCAGAGGAGGAGTGAACCATCTGTGTTCCAATCGCCCCGGCGTGCGGATGGATGCTGCCCTTGTGTGCAGGACGACAGATGGCACGCTGCTCCCCAGATCCCACTGCAACCTTCAGCGCTCGCCTCCATCGCTCCCTGCGTGCCATCGGCTTTACGAGGCCAAACAGGGAAGGGCTGCGATGACACAGAGTCGGCACGAGTGGAGCCCGGCTGTCATGGGTGGATGTTTTCATGCTGGAGGCATCAAGATTTGGAGCCAGGTGGACAAGCAGAGGTGTTGCTGGTGGGGACCGTGCTATCTGCCTGGGTCCTCTGAGCCCCCTTTCAGGGACCCCATGGGGCAGCAGAGCCCTGGGCTCTTTGTAAGGCAAAATTGGGCCATCTGTGGCAATGTAGCCCAAATACATCGGGGAGCAGAGCCCTTCGATGGGAGGCAGGCACCCGGCTCTCTCGGCGATGCAAAGCTGCCCTGCCTGCGACTTGGAGCCTTCCCAAGTGGCTGTCAGTCACCGTCGCTGGCCCTGTTCTCACTCACATACAGTATTATCTCTACCCGCTGCTGCAAATTGGCTCTGAGCAATCCTTGATCTGTCAGCATCGCCTACCCACTCTCAGATGTCACCAGCCCCCGCTGCTGCCCTGCTCGGTAACGTGTCTCTCTGAAATGTAATAATTCATTAAGTTGAGCTTAACTTTTCTTTCCCCCCGCCTCCCCTCTCTGCCACCCTTTCCTCCTCCTAATGGACAGAAGCAATTAAGCTCCATTAGGGATCAAGCGTGTGGGAAATGTTTCCCTTGGAGATGCTGCTGCAGCTGCACGGACCTTGTCCCTGGATGCGTGTGGCACTAACTTCTTGCAAATTAAGGCTCTGTGAGCCTTAATGGTTGAGTAGGGGGAAATGTTGCTTGATGAGAGTGGTGCTGGAAAAGATGCTCCCATTCCCTCCTCCGGGAAAAGGTGATTCGAGGCTCACCTGGTCCTTCTGGCTGGGTTTCATTGTGGACACATGATGATGGCTCCTCTTGCCATGCAGCAAAAAGAAATAGTAGCCTCAGCAGAGGAGGAGCTGGAAGACAGAGGGATGGGCAAGCAGGAGGTGGCAGAGAGAGGCCAGATTCCCAGCTGGTGTAAATTGGGGGAAGCTTTCCAGGTGCTCCTGGTCGCAGAATATATCTGTAGGGTCTGGCTGGCAAAAGTTCTGCCAAGGAGTTGGCTGGCATGGGGTTATGGCCCATGGGGCAGAGGTTCAGCGCGTGGGAGTGGACCAAACCAGAGGGAGAGAGGCAACTTCCCCACTAACTCTGGCTGCAAACGGCATCTTTGTGTTTCTTGACATCCCAAATTTGCTAGCAAAGGCCAGTGAGGGATGATGGCACAGCCAAAATGGTCCTGCCTTTCCTCCAGCTAGGGCAAGGAGGGTTTTTGGCATAGCATGCCCAAAACCGAGAGTGCATTTCGCTGTTGACTGTGGGAGGTCCTTCCTGCTTCCCCATCTCCTCCCTCCACTTAAGCTGCTTTTCTCTTCCCTGCCTTTTGTTCTCTCCCCCTTCCCTGCCCTAGGAAGAAAGTCTCATTTCAGTCTGAAAGCCAGCGCTGGAGGGGGAGAGTCATTTGATGCTTAATGCCAGAGCGGCAGGAAACTTCACCTTCCTGGGGTGGAATTAAAAATGCTTGAATTGTCTGAGGATCTCAAACAAGAGATGCAGGGAACATTCAGGGCTTTTCACACAAACATGCACACACACACATGCGAAAGCCCACACAGCATTAAGGGTGTAATAGCTCAGTTGGGGTAATGCACTTGAACTCTCTCTGCAGCAGACAGACCAATTCTTTCAGTTCTTTTGAATATTTTTTTTTTTTTTTTTTGAGGCTGGAGATTGCTGCTCTAGTCTCCAGGGAGAGAGACGTTCGTCTTGCAGAGAGAACGATGCCATTTGTTCTTCGCAATCATGCTTCCCTTGGAGCACTTTGGGACTGGGAGGGGGCTGAGGGCAGGGGCTGGGTTGCTCCGTGAAGCCAGGGCTCTGCGGGTGCAGGGATGGATGGGGAGCTGCAGCCAGCAGATTGCATCCCCCGATGTTGTTGCAAGGAGGGAAGGGTGTGCTGCGGGGATGTCTGGTGTGAGAGATGCTCCCTGTGTGCAATTATGATCATCATTAGAGGTATTCCATGCAGGTCGAGATGCCCCAGGTACATGGTGTGTGCAAGCATGGGGCATGGGACCTCCTAGAAGCAGGTCCATCTGTGTTGTCTAACCTATCACCCGTGGCATGGGTGGGAGGTTGCCTACGTTGCCACTCCTGCGTTTCCTGCCAAATAGTTCCATTTCTCTGGTTGTGTGTGATGGCCTTTGCATACGTGCTTAGGGATTTGAGTGCTTTTTCATACAGCATGGGTGAAAAACCTGCATGGGGGTCTTCTGCGTGTGGCCACAGGTGTGTGTAAACCAGAAAGCAGACCATGCATGGTCTTGTGTTTTAACTGTGCGTGAGAAAGCGTATATAACCTTAGCTGCACATAGATATCTTTGCACAGCTCTAGGCTGGGCTATAGGTGAAATCATACGTCTTATGTACCGAGGAGTGTGTTTATGTGTGTGCTTAGGAGTGTATGTGAGCACGTGGATGCTGATACATCTGTGCGCCATGCGTGTTAGAGGCTGGATGAGCAGTGGGCACGGCGTTAACTCTGGCCAGCGTTGCTCAGCGTTTGACGTGCCCTTGCCCGCAGAGAGCCCGTGTCGTGCTGCCTGCCCACTGCAGAGCTGCACCGAGCTGTTGTCCTTCTCTGGACTGGTCATCACACCTGGACAGTTCACATGAGACACTGAAGTCCAGAGAAGGACAACAGGGATGTCTCAAGTCCTGGGAAAATACTTCAAGGAGAGGCTGGAGTGAAAAAGGATTCAGAGGGGGAGGTAAAGGCAGGGGACAGGACCTGCTCTCCTCCATCCTCTCACTGCCTCTCCACAGTGCCTAGTTTTTATTTCCTGAAGGGACATACAGAAGCTGAGCTGGTTCTGGGGTCGGGAGGCACTGGGACCATCCTCCCCAAACGGCAGCGGTTCTAAGCTGGGGCATGCAGGGCTGAGCGACCGAGCAGTGGATTTGCTGACGTGCATCCATGCCTTTCCTCCTGCAAAGAAACCTCTCCTCCTTTCTGATCATTCACCCATCCCCTGGCCATGCTTTGGCTGGGGATGGCCATGCATCTCCCCAACATGCACCAGCAGCCCTTGGCTCATGCTTGCCCTCGGTCCTTGCCTCCTCTCCCAGCCCCATGGTGCCCCAGGCCCCCATGCACCCTGCAGCCCCCCAGCCATGCTCTCAGCAACCCTCCCTGCCCTTCCCCAGGGAGTTTGCCAAAGAGCGTGAGCGAGTGGAGAACCGCCGAGCCTTCATGAAGCTGAGGCGTCAGCAGCAGATCGAGCGGGAGCTCAACGGTTACCGGGCCTGGATAGATAAAGCAGGTAAAGGCTGGTGGGCTGGGGGTCTCCCAGGGGAACGGCGGGCACTGCAGACTGCTGGTCGTGCAGGGTGGTGGGGATGGGAAGGGATTTCTGAGCATCATCCAGTGCAACCCCAGAGTTGCACAGGTGCTCACATGGTGGCGTTGGGTGCACGAGTGAGCTCGGCCCCAGGTGGTGTGATGGTTTGGTCAGGCTACAACCAAGGATATTGCTGAGAGCTGATGAAAGCTCATGTTCTGTGGCAGGAAACCATCATATTTTGAACATGAGACATATTGCATCTCCAGGGGAGGCTGTGAGCATCGTGGCCATGAGCTTTGCTCTGTGGTGGTTTCCTTTCTCTTGGCGGTTGCTGGAGTCCCCTACAGTGGTGGGCAGTGGGAAAAGTAAAGCAGTGAACAGTGACAGTGGTTTTGCAGCTAAACCTGCTCCTGAAGCAGTCTGGAGGGGATGCACTCACGGGTTCCCACCTCGGGGCTCCTGGACCTGGGCAAGGGCTAGAAGAGGTGGAGGTTTCCAGGCTTCCTGCTTGACACCCAGCCAGACACGACAGTCTGTGGGTGCTGGTCCTCAAAATGCGACAGCCCGTGGGTGGTGGGCCCCAAACTGCCACAGCCCATGTCCTTGCTTGGCCCTTGTGGGGATCAGGTCAGTGTGTTCAGTTCTGGGAAGGGAAGATTTACACTTTCATCTGGCACTCAGACTTGAAAAAGGACAGGTATCTTGAAACGAGCCCTGAGCCCCAGACCTCAACTTTAGTCCTGGGTTGGGATGTTGAGCCCCAGACTTGTCTGTGATGTTCAGTTTCTTTAGTGGGGTTAATTACAGCGGAGGAAGAAGGGTTGATTACAAGTAATTTTTCTTTCTGATGCAATGTGTGGTAGATGCCACTTGCTACCCTCCAGAATTTACTTTGGGACACTTAACCAATACTTGACAAGAGTTTGCAACCTAGAGAAACCCCCTCCAGGCTGGACAAAGTGCTTAGGTACAAGGCAGTGAGGGCTGATGTGTTCAGCCAACGGTGTCTTCTCTCTTGATGCTGAACTGTGTGTTTTGCGTAGAGGAAGTCATGCTGGCTGAAGAGAACAAAAACGCTGGGACCTCAGCCTTAGAAGGTAAGACAAGCCATGCCCTGCCTAAAAATCTGCCTGCCCTGCCTTCTGCCTGCCTGTAGCTGGAGGCTGGAACCCTCCAGCTCTGATGGGAGGTCTGGGGATGCCCCAGTGGGTTCTGCAGCCCAAGAGAGGGGTGTGGGGAGATGGATTTGACAGTGTAACCCCTGAGAGAACGTGGAGGCCAGGAGGTGTCTGGTCCCACTCAAGAGAGAGCTCTGCACTAGGGTCACCTGGGTATCTCCATCCTGTTACCAGACCTGAGTTAGCTAAGAACTGATCACCAGGTCCTGGTCCAATGAGCTGGCTACTGGTAAAGATGGGCGACTGTGGCTCCAACACCCATTCCTCTTCCCTTCCCAGTGCTCAGGCGAGCCACCATCAAAAGGAACCGGACGGACGCCATGAACCGTGACTCGAGTGACGAGCATTGTGTCGATATCGCCTCTGTGGGCGAGCGGAGGCTGGCGCAGAGAAGGCCTCTTCATCCAACCTTGGGTCAGTGCAGTTTGGATCTTGCTCTCCCAAAACCTCTGCCAGCTTATTGAGTTGCCAGGGTTGCACCCATCATGCGGAGACTGTCACAGATCAGCCATCTCTGCTAGTTTGGCAGCAAAGGGGGCAAACCACCTCCTATCCCCTGTGCCACGTCAAAACTGTCCGGATAAGTCACGTGCCGTAAAAGCAGTGTCTGTGAGCCGTCTGTCCTGTCTCACGTTGCAGAGAAGGCTGGAGCACCCAACTCCTTCTCTCACCTTGACTGGAGCACCCAACTCCTTCTCCCTCCTCTTTTCCCGTAGGTAACCCCTTGAGTCACTCTGGCCTCAAAGGTGCCAGAGTAGACGGTGCCTCCTACTTACGGCACAAGGAGCGACTCCTGCGCATCTCCGTTCGCCACATGGTGAAATCCCAGGTCTTCTACTGGATCGTCTTGAGCCTGGTGGCTCTCAACACTGCCTGCGTGGCCATCGTCCATCACAACCAGCCAGCCTGGCTCACCCACTTCCTCTGTGAGTCCTTGGGCTTTGTGTAGGTGTGAGAGCACTGCGTGGGCAGGCAAAACCTCCTGTAACCTTCTTATCTCCAGCGGCCGGAGGTCGCAGCACACCTTTGCTCCTTGGCCCCAGGCCACATAGGGATGAATCCCACCAGAGTCGTGCTGGTATGGAGCTGGATGGGGAATAACCTGAACTACGATCACTGTTGATAACAAAGGACTGTGTACAGCCATTTAATTCAGCTTTGCCCTTGGCCCCATGGCCACTGATGGCTGTCTCAGCCCTGTGAGCAAACGCTGGAGGAGTTTTACTGGCCTCATGCTCTTCAGGTCTGATGTGTTTGTCACGAGAGAGAAATAGACTGCAGGTCTCAGTTGGGTTTATCCTAAAATTGTGGACAGTGGTGATGGAAAGCTTGCTGGAGATCCATCTTTGAATGCCCACAAGCAATTGCTGGAAAGGCATGGGTTTGCAGGGATGGGGCCAGTCATGGGAGAACCTCCTGGTTAAAGTTTTGGTGCAGAGCATGGCATAGAGATCCTGAGCTTGAAACCAGTTACTGGAGCATCCCCCAGCCCACCGTGGGCCATGGTACGAGGTTAAGTCTCTGAGGTAGTGTACCCACGTCTATTCTAGCGTGGTACTAACTGCAGAGCATCGTTGGTCAACCCCATGGCAACTGCCTGTTACTCCTGAGCTGCTGCAGTAGGGACAGTGCTGCTTTCTCAGCCGTATTATTCTTACTCACCTTGAAAATGTCCCCGTCAATCACTGTGCCTGCCCAAATCTGTATTAGCACGCTCAGGCCTGCTGGGATCCCAGCACGCCACGGTGTGGTGTGGCAGCTGGTCATGGTGAGAAGCATCTTTTGGACGAGGTGAAGAGCCAGACTCTTGCCTGCTAATGTTCATAAAATAGCTGGAGAAGCTTTGCACTGGCTCTTGGCTGTTCGGCTCGGTTTCCCTGGCAAAGTTCCAGCCATGCAATGATTTAAATCCAGGTTGCTAATATTCCCCTACAGTGTCGTGTGGTTAATGTCTTTGGAGGCGCCTCAACCACTGTCATATAGTGCTAAAGGGCTGCTCTGCTCCAGGCCAGCCTTCTCTGGTCTTCTCAAACCCCTGCCACACTGGTGCACCCACCCTGAAAGATTAACCTGTGGGGTTGATGCTCTGTTATATACAATTTAGCTCCTCACAGACAAGCTTCCCTCACCCCAAACCCTGAGAGCTTGGGGAAGGAGCGTGGTCCTTGATTGTCCCGTCTCTGGGACAGTGGTGTGTTGTATGGGCCACTGCTGGGTGCATGCAGGATGCTCCGTGCAGCTCGGTGCCCCAAGGGTAGCGCGTTTGGGTTTTCTCTTTCAGACTATGCAGAGTTCCTGTTTCTTGGGCTCTTCCTTCTGGAGATGTCGTTAAAGATGTACGGGATGGGGCCGCGCCTTTACTTCCATTCTTCCTTCAACTGCTTCGACTGTGGGGTAAGCGGCTCCAGAGATGCTGTGGGTGTGGGGGGAGATGTTTGACAGGTGTCTGCAGTGCAAGGCACCAAGGGGAAGAACAGGATGGCCCTTGGAGTGGGCAGGGAAACACTTTCTGCCGGGACAGCCTGCTTGTGTGAGACCGAGACACTAGGTCTTGGGTAGGGTGGTGGGTGCCTGGTCTTCAGGCACCTGAAGGTTGCTTGCAACAGCCTGTCCTGAGCCTGTCTTTGACTTATGGCTGCGTCTGCTTCTCAGGTCACAGTGGGAAGCATCTTCGAAGTGGTTTGGGCTATCTTCAGGCCAGGAACCTCTTTTGGGATCAGTGTCCTACGAGCCCTTCGTCTCCTGCGAATATTTAAAATAACCAAGTATGTACCAACCATCCATGCCTGTCACCCTTCGTCCCGGACTGTGGCTGCAGCCCAGATCCAGTTGCTCCTGCTCTCCTGTCAGCATCACTGCAAGTGCTCCAGCAATGTCTCTGTTTTCTAGGTACTGGGCATCCCTGAGGAATTTAGTGGTCTCACTGATGAGCTCCATGAAATCTATTATCAGCCTGCTCTTCCTCCTCTTCCTCTTCATTGTAGTCTTTGCCCTGCTGGGAATGCAGCTGTTTGGAGGCAGGTGGGTCCTTTCAAGTCTGGGGAAAAGGAATTTTTTGATGTTAAAGCCAAGTGGTGACACCCTCTTAGGCGCCTAGGAAGACTGTAGCCTTGCCCTTCAGTCTGCTGCTAACAGTGGTACTTCTCCCATACAAAAGTCCCTGCTCGAGGGGTGCCTTTGGGCTGTGTGGGTCCTTCTGGCCAGGAGACCTTTTGGGTTCTGGCACCAAGCGCTCAGGAGACTTTCCTTAGAGTGGGGAAAGGTCCTCCTAAGCACAAGGGAACTGATAGCACAGCAGTCGCAGGTTTGGTGACCTTGGTACTCCAGCCCATTCATGTCCTCTCGGTTCCACTTCCAGGTTTAACTTCATCGATGGGACGCCATCGGCCAACTTCGACACTTTCCCCGCAGCCATCATGACGGTGTTCCAGGTAGGAGCTGGGCTGCAAGAGGACACAACCTAAGGGACTTGGGACCACCTGCTCAGTCCTCCTGGCTGGAGGGAGCCCTTTAAACCAATTAAGTTCCCCTTCATCAGCTGTTAGGATATAACTCGCTTCCTCCCTCGCCTCCTGTATAACAAAGTGAATGGCAAGAGATGGAAACTCTTCCACCTCTGTTACAGAAGGCAGAAGAGTTCCAAAACTCTTCTGAAGAGACCTAAATCCTCGGCGGTGTCCAACATCACCTCCCTCAAGTGCTGCAGCTGTGGAGCTGGGTTATCCACTGCACAGGGTCTCTGTACTTGGCTCCTGCACATTGGTGGGATAGACCGAGGGGGCTCTCGGTGCGGGTGACAGAGCTGCTGCCTTGCTCTCCTGCAGATCCTGACGGGTGAGGACTGGAACGAGGTGATGTACAACGGCATCCGCTCCCAGGGAGGCGTTCGCTCAGGCATGTGGTCCTCCATCTATTTCATCGTCCTCACCTTGTTTGGAAACTGTATCCACCTGGCTGCTGTGCTTTTAGTGGCGACAACCCGCTCTCATCTCCCTCTCTAGGGGTACCCCCTTCCCCACCCACCACGTCCTTCCTTCTCTCCCAACTGAGGGAGTCCCATCACACATGCAGCAGCCCTGGCTATCCCAAACCCAGAGGAGCAGCTGTCTGGAGATGCGTTGAGGGCTGTATATATGGGATGGGTGAGGAGTTTATCCCTTTGGCTGCTCCTCACAGAGCCGGTGAGGAGCCATCAGGGCCACCCTCTCTTAGTGGCTGCAGATACCCATGTCCTTAACACGTGCCCTGTGCATCCTTAGCTGCTCGCAGATACTCTGCTGAACGTGTTCTTGGCCATTGCGGTGGACAACCTGGCCAACGCTCAGGAGCTCACCAAGGTACGTTCTGGTTGCTCCTCCTCCTTCTCTTGCTGGTGTGAAGATAGTGAGGGATGGGGCCAGCAGGAAAGGCACTGGGAGCACTGCCTGTGGCTGTCCTCACTCCGGAGCTGGGGCCACCTTGTCCCTTAGCTCAGCCTGCCTTGAAAAAGAGCTCGGGTCAAATTGGAAACGGGGGCCCTTCCTCCAGGAGGGTACACAGGGTGCTACCCTGAAACACGAACCCATATTGCTGGGCAAAGCCAGTTAGGTTTTGATTTGGGAAAGTGCTTAAATCTGCCGGTCTCGTGTCTCTCCAGGAACGCCCACGCTTCCCATCAAGTGTGGCTTAACCGCTTCTCCATTTAAGCTCCCCGGTTAGTTCTGTTTGCCGCCAGTCAGACTGAGATAACCCTCATCTATCTGATGGGGTCTGATGCGGGGACGGTTATTTGCCCAAGCGCTCTGGAGATGTGGAGTGGGAAGCGCTTTGCAGTGGTGTCAGTATTTATTTCCCATCTGCCCGCAGGGCAGTGGACGTGATTTAGGATGCAATTTAGGATGGTGCTTGAGAAGGTTATTGGGCTTAGCTGTTTTTAAGACCATGCTGGGAAATATTTGGGAAATGCTAAAATGTTGGGGCACCATCTGGATAACGGTGAGCAGGCGAGAGCTGCAAGGGTCATTGCTGCTCTTTGAAGGGGACCAACAATCCCGTGGTGCCTGTTTTTTTTGCGGAGCCCATGCTTATTACTCAGGTCCTTGGGGTTTACTGAGAGGCTTCCATGCTGGTGTAAATCTGCCCCGTTAGCAGAAAACAAAATGGGGCATGGTGCTCGTTTGCCTGAGGGGTGCGGGCGGGGGTCCCTGTCCTCCCGCGGTGGGTGCAGGTGGCACTCCCAGGGGCTGCCAGCTGCTGCTGGGGTGAGAAGGTTTGGGAGAGCCCCGCGGCGTACCAGCAGCATCAATTAAGGGAGCGCTGAGTTTTTGAAAAGGCTGAATGCACGCTAATGACTCCTAATGACATTTTTTGCTCCGGAGACACAACTATACTCGTTAAAGCAATACGGTCTCTGCCGGGGTCATTCATGGATGCCTTGCCTCCCACTCCATCGGGGGGATGCCTGTCTCACCCCTGTGGCTGTGAAGAAGGGAGGGCTGAGCTGGTCTGTGCCGTTTGGGGCTGTTCTGGCATGCACAGCCCGGCTCTTGCCTAGAGTGGGCTGGGTTCTCTTATTTAAGTAGCGCTGACGCCTTCAGTAAGATCTGGCGTAGTGGGGAAGTTGTGTCCCCATAGCACAAGGAAAATAAAAGCTGTCTCTGGAAATACAGGTCTCCCTTTCTCCCGCATGCCTTGGCATCTAAGAT